CCACTCCCCCAGCCTTAAATACACCCAAAAACAGGGATAAAAACTCCAGGCAATGAACCATCAGCCCCTGGATGCTGAGGGAGCTCCAGCCAGTGGAGGCTGGGAAATTCTTCAGCCCCAGCACCACTGGAGCGTGTAAGACCAGATTATTTGTGTTCCCGACTTGCTGATGCAAGATGAAAAAATACAGCAAAGCTGCAGCTGCTGAAATCAGCTCTTTTCTCCCCCTTCTTCCCTTTCCCCTTCGCTGAGGTTAGTGCTTTTTTTTTTTTTTTGCAAAAAGGTTTTTTTACATTCCGGGAGCTCAAAAACCTGCCGGTCGCAATCAGACACAAAAGCCCCGGGAGCTCGTCGGGCTCCCGGAGCGCCGGGAAAAGCTTCCCTGGGCACAAAGGGCCGCGCAAATTGCGGCGATCTGAGCCCGGTGGAGGCGGGGAAGGACCCGGGGGGATTTTTTTTTTAAGCGGTCAGCAGGGTCAAGGGCGTTGGAATCGATTTATCCCGAGAAAAAACCCGGGATTTGTGCCCGGAATAACCCACAAAGCTGGGAAGGGGATGGCAGAGTGGATTGTCCAGGTCTCACTGCCAGCTGGGATCAGCCCATGGAGAGCTGGGATTCTCCAGGTCCCATTGCCAATTGGGATCAGCCCCCAGAGAACTGGGATTCTCCAGCTCCCACTGCCAACTGGGATCAGCCCCCAGAGAACTGGGATTCTCCAGCCCCCACTGGGATTCTCCAGGTCCCCCCTGGACTCTCCAGGTCCCACTGCTAACTGGGATCAGCCCATGGAGAGCTGGGATTCTCCAGGTCCTCCTGGGACTCTCCAGCTCCCACTGCCAACTGGGATCAGGCACCAGAGAACTGGGATTCTCCAGGTCCCCCTGGGATTCTCCAGCTCCCACTGCCAACTGGATCAGCCCATGGAGAGCTGGGATTCTCCAAGTCCCATTGCCAATGGGATCAGCCCCCAGAGCTGGATTCTCCAGGTCCCACTGCCAACTGGGATCAGCCCATGGAGAGCTGGGATTCTCCAGGTCCCGCTGGGATTCTCCAGGTCCCACTGGGATTCTCCAGGTCCCACTGGGATTCTCCAGCTCCCACTGCCAACTGGGATCAGCCCATGGAGAGCTGGGATTCTCCAGGTCCCACTGCCAGCTGGGATCAGCCCATGGAGAGCTGGGATTCTCCAGGTCCCACTGCCAGCTGGGATCAGCCCATGGAGAGCTGGGATTCTCCAGGTCCCACACCTAACTTGCTGTCAACCGGGGTTGGCTCCTTGAGGGGACACACAGGAGGAGCCCAGGGGACAAATTCCGGCCCCTTCCTGCCCTCAGAAGGACAGCACAGGGTGTGTCCTCCCAGCCACGGGCACCTCTGGGTGCCCCAGAGCTTCAAACACCCCTCCCAAAGCACCCAGAACACACCCACACCTCGGTCAGGATGGAGGAGCTGGGGGATTTTATCCCCCCCTCCACGGAACCCCCAGCCCTGCACAGCTGGAAAACAGCAGGAAAAAGCCACAAAAAACCTCCAGGAATGGGTGATTTCCACGCTGGATCTTTCAATTTGCCCTTTCCCTTCCAACTCCTCAGCTTTTCTGGGGAGGAAAGGCCCCTTCCTGCCCGAGGCAGGAGCCTTATCCCATCTCCTGTCACTGCTGGCTTTGGGAGCACTCGGGATCTGCTCCCAGTTCAATCCCTCGCCAGGCCCCTGTCGGGTAAGGATGAGCATCAACCTGCTGGATAAACACAGGGATACCAGTGGGAAATCCCCTTGGGATGCAGGGACATGGAGGAGTTTCTGGAGGAGTTTCGTGCCTGGTCGCTCCCGTGTGGAGATGGCAGAGGGGAGTGGATGGGATGAGACCTTCCCCTGAAAAACCCAGATCCAAGGAGCTCATCCATGTCCTGGAACACCCCACCAGGAGGGAAAACACCTGAGGCTACAGCACAACTCTGCAAACCAACACTGGACACAAATAAAAGCTGCATTGGGGTGTTTTGCAGAGCAAGACTCCCCATCCAGGCAGCCCCCAGCACACATCCCCATCCAGCTTCTCCCAGAAAAGTGCACTTCCACCTCGGAGCAAACACTCCAGGCAGCTCCTACACCTTCCCCCCCGTTGCTGCTTTGCCTCTTCCTGCTGGAATTTCATCTCAGGCAGGAACAGGCTCCTCATTAACTCGGCCCCGCTCGCCCGGGTCATCCCTCTCCCTCATCCCCAGCATCCCCCCTCGGAGCGAGCTGATGGAGAGGTGCTGCCACTCACCGCTATCTTTTATTCATGGACCTTGGCTCATTGTATTACTTTTTGATAAAAAGCCCCAATTCCCACATTTCCAGCATCTCCGGAGGAAGACCCGGAGCTCTCATTTCTTCCGCCGGGAAACTCCATCACCCCGACGGCAAAGAGGAGCAAAGCCCCTCCTGCTCCTGGCAGGAGACAGATCCCTGACGAGGCTGATCCGGCCCCTGGAGGGTTTTTTGCCGTGTGAATAATGAGTTTCATAACTGCACAGGAGCCTGAGCTCCCACCTTTGCTCCTCAGCAGGGAAAGCGGTGATTTCACCAGCCGGGAAGGTTTTTTTTGGGATGCTGGGAGCACAGGGAGGGATTTGGCTGCTTGCAGGGCACGTGTGTGACCTCCTGCCCTTTGAACATTCACCCCTCCACAGCTCGGGGAGGTGGAGCAATCCCAGGTGGGGAATGGAGCTGCACATTCCCCAGGGATCCGGCTCCTCCACTCACGGCAGCAAAGGGAGGCTCCATCCCTGTTCCCTTGGATTATCCAGGTCCCACAGCTAATGAGGACATGCTGGGAGCAGCCCATGGAGAGCTGGGATTCTCCAGGTCCCACTGCCAACTGGGATCAGCCCACATAGAGCTGGGATTCTCCAGGTCCCACACCTAACTGGGACATGTTGGGATCAGCCCACATAGAGCTGGGATTCTCCAGGTGCCACTCAGATTCTCCAGCTCCCACTGCCAACTGGGATCAGCCCATGGAGAGCTGGGATTCTCCAGGTGCCACTCGGATTCTCCAGCTCCCACTGCCAACTGGGATCAGCCCATGGAGAGCTGGGATTCTCCAGGTCCCACTGGGATTCTCCAGGTCCCCCTCCCAACCGGGATCAGCCCCCAGAGAGCTGGGATTCTCCAGGTGCCACTGGGATTCTCCAGGTCCCACTGCCAACTGGGATCAGCTCCCGTAGAGCTGGAATTCTCCAGGTCCTTGTGGGACCCTCCAGCCCCCTCGGGACTCTCCAGATCCCCCCTTCCATCCACACCCACCCCTCCGTGCCCCCCCTTTTACCTGCACAGGTGATCCGCCCGGCAGGTGCCCCGCAGGTCCAGGCAGTTGGGCTTCTCCTTGTCCTCGTAGGAGCAGGAGGGGACGATGGTCTGGCGGCGGCGCTCGGCGCAGGCGCGGTCCTTGCAGGAGCAGAAGAGCAGGCGGAAGGTGAACTCGCCGGGCACGCGGTCGAAGAACTGGCGCAGGGCCTTGTGGCACTTGCGGCGGCTGCAGGGCTCGGCCCCCGCCAGCTCCCGGCTGCACGTGGAGATGTACCCCGAGCGCAGGCGCTTGCAGTTGTCGTTCAGGTTGCAGGCCTTGGCCGCGTCCAGGCAGTGGTTGCTCTTGGAGGAGGCGGCGGGGTCCATCCCTGGGGAGGGAGGGGAGAGAGGTGGGCAGGTGGTCTTGGGCTGGGGATGAACCCTGAAACCTGGGGAGAAGCCTCTCAGCTCAGGGGTTAGGAGGAATCCTCGACGTGGAAAGATGTGTTTTA